TGTCATGTCCGAATTTAAAACCGCCTCTTACCCGTCGCCGGCCGTTGTTCGGCCACAGCGACTCTCTGAGATTCAATGTCCGGTCATACTTTATATATGTGAAAAAGTCTAGTTTTCGGTATAGAAAGGAGATTGTCATGTCCGAGGGAAAACCCACCGCTGTCTTGTCGCCGGCCGTTGTTCGGCCACAGCGACATTATGTATCCACAGTCTGGTCATACTTTATTAGTGTGAAAATGTGTAGTTTTCGGTATAGAAAGGAGAATATGAAGTTATCTATTTTTAGCAATGTGAATTTTTAATTATCGTTTCGACTAGTTAGTTTATTTTAAGTATAATTTATATGTAATTGTTTTGTATTGTTTAATTTGTTTTTATTTGTGGCCCTCATGCCAAAATGGTATTTTTGTTATGCAGCAACTGACTTAATTGCTGCCTACCAAAAATGTGTATTGTGTCCGTAATAAAATATCAAAATATAAGAATATAATTTATTATAAATAAATCAATTAAAATCANTACAGTAGAGCATCGATTATCCGACTCAATTGGGGACTGGGGTTGGTCAGATAAATGAAAAAACGGATAACCGAAAAATATGAAAAAATACATTATTAGTATAGTATATTAGTATATCTCATGTAATTAGTATATTAGTATATCGCTATTAACCTACTTCGCGTTGAATTTTCATCGATGTTAAGCCTAACAAATAATTTTTTAAAATAATAATCGTAGCTATTGTATCGTTAAAAATTAGAAAATTAAAAAGTTAAGCCTCGTTTAAATACTGGCTCCCTTTCATAGTCGAATGAGTGTTGCCAGCTAAAACACGTAAAAGTACTATTAAAGTAGCCAAGACATAGCCAAATATTGTAGCGCCACATCACTAGCGGACTTTTGAATTTGCCGACTAGGACGGTCGGTTAACCGATGTGACGGTTAATCGGAGGTCGGATAATCGATGCTCTACTGTATTTGGGTTTACATGTAATTGTATGGAGAAAAATGATTCACTTTACGACATTTTCATGATACGATCTCATTTTCGGAACGGATTAATTTCGTATCCTGAGGTACCACTGGTACTAAGCCTTATTGCCATATTTTACTCAATATGGTATATTATAAGGCCTTAAACTTCACATATAGATTATTATAAAGTATCATTTATAAACAAGTTAAAAACTTTTCATATTTTTAATAATAAAGATTAATAATAGAAACTAAAAAAATACAAATTGCTATATTTTAAAAATAATAATGAATAAAGTAAAATGAATTACAGTACTAAATTTGTAATTCATATAACAACAACACAGGCTAAAATTCAGGCACTTTCTGCCATTCCATTAACTCGTTTCCAAAATTTGCATAAAATTTCGGTTAAAATAAATCTGTCAATATTCTTACCAAGCATATATACGATGAACCAATCTCCTAAAGACAATCGCTTAATTAACAATTCCAAATAAATTTCCCGTACAAGCCTGTAACATATGGATAAGATATACAATCACATCTTTCCACTTATTATTAANTTTTGTATTGATGTATCATTATAGTTCTTACGAATAGAAGTCTTATGTATTGTATAAGACTTCTATATTGTATAACATTGTATAAAATTATTAATAAACAAATTTAAATTTGCAATATTAATGTTATACACAAAACAATAAAAATATACAAGAAATAATTTTGTTAAACAGTGGCGTGTTATCCTATGAACAAAAAATTCATTTGCCTGGGTGGGGCATCCCTAATTCAAATTCAAATGTGATTCGTGATGCTATAACATGCCACTGTCATTAACATATTTCAATTTTTTAAATTTGTTTTATGATTCGAGTTATGAAAAGTAATAAGATTTACATATTAAGATTTTTGGACTGCAATTTGTAGACCTATAAATTCTGTCTTTCCTTAATTTCGGGAACGGAATACGATACGTAAACCTTAGTGGGAAAAGGCCCCAATTAACTATATAGGAACTTCTGATGCAAACAGGAAGTTGCGTTATTTCAATTTAAATCTTCCCATGGAAGGTGTTAGAGATATGACTGGCACAACTGTATTGTTAAAGGAAAAGTGTGATGTACCAGGGGCAAGTCACTACTAATTTGAGTTGGAGAGGNAACTTCTGATGCAAACAGGAAGTTGCGTTATTTCAATTTAAATCTTCCCATGGAAGGTGTTAGAGATATGACTGGCACAACTGTATTGTTAAAGGAAAAGTGTGATGTACCAGGGGCAAGTCACTACTAATTTGAGTTGGAGAGGATATATTTTAAATTTAAAATATGATTAGAAATTGCAGTCCAACATTGTGACAATGTCACAATAAATAATTGCTTGTTTTTAAAGAAAACCATTTGGTAAATAATATATTATGATAGACTCACATTAGAATCGTTACCTGTGAAATTGTCTTTATGTATTGACGTTAACCAATGGTCAATTTTGTCCTCAGAGTAAGTCATACACCATATCAATTGTTAAATTTCACTATATACTTCATTTTAAGATTGCAGTTTCTTTCTTTCTAATAATTTTCATGAATTTTATCCATCATAATCCTGGAAATAATGTTATGTTAATAAATAATTTTGCTGGTAGAGTTTTAAATATTCTATTTTGTTCAAACAGTAATAATAATTCTGACAGTTAATGGAAGGGACATCACCATTAACTAATATTATTTAGTATAATCTATATACCTTGAACTAGAAAAAAGCTAATAGTAGTAATTAACTTTGTTTTCCTACACCATTGTTAGAGAACCTGTGACGTTTTGTGGTTTTTTAATGCTACCAGACAAAATATAATGCAATAAAATTCATGACATGTTCACATGCTCATTAGACAGCTGACTCTTTACTTTTGTTTCATCCTTTAATCTAGTTTTCAGTTCAACTATTTATTAAAAATGCTCTGCATCATCCAATCTTGGCAGTTTGCAGTGTGTAGAGCATATATTGTTCACATAATACAATATGTTCTTGATGTTTTTGCAATGATTAAGGCTCTCATATTCTCCATATCTATGTCATGTACAGTGGATATCAGTACTTGATCCTTCTTTGGATAAAGGGATGCAGTGTAGTTTAATGTGGGATCATTTCTTACCTGAGGTACTGCAATAAAACATGGCTGTTAATCGCTATTTAGCACTTTTTGCTTCCTCTGCAGCAGTTTCCTTCTTGTAAGTTCCTAGTATCATCTCCGTACACATCTTATTTGGTGGCAACATTCCTGGCCTATGGTCTGAAAAATCCTGTCAATGGTGTCATCCACTCATTTATGGATTTTCACTGGGTACTTCCGGAATATTCTAACATGCGTAACAAATAATCTAGTCCACCCACCACACCAGCCTTAATATAAGGCATCTTCTAGACATTTCCCTTTTGTCCAGTCATCTATGCAACTTCATAATCATTTTTGTCCAACCCATCCCAGTGTTTTAATATGTTGGCAATGTTCTGCATAGCAAAAAAACCTTTGGTATTCTGAAATTTATATTGACAGTTCTTAAGCTAAGTCTTACAGNTAAGTTTCCGGAGGTTAGTAAACGGGACACAAAAAACTTGAAAGTTTTGTGGAAAAATTTAAAAAAAAAAGCAAGAAAAGATGTGGCATCAAATAAACGAGCACGGATGGGTACTGGAGGAGGAATATGTGCCGATGTCGAGTGTCCAATGCCACCAATTACACAACAAATTTTCTCCTTAATCCCCGAGCAAATTACGCCTCTCCCAAATCCTGTTGATAGCGATGCTGATTTTAATGTCCCTGTCGAAGGTAAATTTGTTGTTTATCTAATTATACTCGATCAAAACTAAACAGTAATAAAACAGTTAATAATAATAAATGACAATTTATTAAATAAAGTTATAAGCATTGGTATTTATTTTCAGATAATGTTGTGGCCGAATTTCCTGCATTACTGCAACAGCAATCAGGAGAATCAAATAGTGAAACTTTGAATGCATCAAATGTAAGTGTTAAATAGTTAATTAATCCCCTTATACATATTTCCTTTTGTTTTTAGTATTGTATTTTAGTGATCCTTTGTATATAGAGTACTGTAAAATTAGCATAAAAGTAATAAAACTTTTATCAACAATTATAATTTGATGTTAATATAAATTATGTAAACAAAGTATTTTAATAATAATGTTTTGATACTAAAAACTAATTAGTCAAACAAAAATTAATTTTTAGAGCTATATTACTTTTAAAATAATGTTTATTTATATATCACACATATTTTCAGGTACTCATACAGGATTTATATCTAGTGAATCCATCTGAATTTTCTGATGATCCAACAACTAATGAACCACCACCCAATAATAATCGTCGCAGTAATTTTAAAATTGTTGATAAATATGCACTAGAATATCACAAAGCTCGAATGCATTTTTTAAAAGAAGAACATAGAGCTAAAATGAATTTTATGAAGGAAGAAGATTTAAGAAGAAAGAGAGAGCATGACTATAGAATTGAACTCCTACAAGAAGAAAAAAGAGAACAACAATTAAAAATAGAACTACTGCAAGAAAAATTAAAAAGCATTAAAAAATAGTCTTATTAATAAATTTAATTTTTATAGTTATTTTGTTGAAAATTATTTATAATTTTTATTCAATAATTTATTCTAATTACACATTCAAAT